AATATTGAATTATTTACAAGATAATTAATTGCACAAATTAAATAAAACAAGAATAAATATGCAAGATGTAAAAATGTTTTTATGTGTATGAAAAAAAGTATTTTTATATGTCAAATAAACAAAATAAAAAGGATTATTTTTTGGAGTTTTTTATGTTTAGGGCAAAACCCTAATTTTGTTAAATAAAATGTATTAATTATTTAATATATACAATATTTATTTATTATATACAAAAATAAAATAAAAATGAAGTATATTTGTCAAAAAGGTATTTTCTATATTAAATATTAATAAAAAATAAGAATGTGTATATTTTGTATTTTAACCTAAATATTCTAATAAATATATATATATATATATATATATATATATATATATATATATATATATATATATATATATATATATATATATATATATATATATATATATATATATATATATATATATATATATATATATATATATATATATATATATATATATATATATATATATATATATATATATATATATATATATATATATATATATATATATATATATATATATATATATATATATATATATATATATATATATATATATATATATATATATATATATATATATTATTTTCTAAATATGTATTATATATAAAAATAATAATATTTAATATTTATAAAAAAAAGGTATATTTTATAAAATATTTTCAGAAGATAAAATGAAATAAAATAAAAATGTGTTTGCACTATTTTTTAGTATTTGAAGTAAAAGTGTATCTATTTATTTATTTATGCACGAATACTCATTCAAACAAATAAATGCCTAATAAATATGAAAATGGTGAGAAAAATATTTTTTATATTTTTAATATCATAAGAAAAAATAAATAAGTCAGAACAAAAAGAAAAGTCAAAAAATCATTAAAATAAGCAAAATGGGCTCAGGGGGCGTGAAAGTGAAAAAATGGTGCAAAAAGAAATATGAAACAAGGCCCAGCCCAGAAAACCCTTCTTCAACCTCTGGCCAGAAAAAATGTCAAAAACGCGCGCCTTGTTCACTGATTCAAACATCCTGATTCCTGGCTTTTTAATGAAAACTCACAACATCAAAAATGTTCAGCATCAAACAACGAATCCATACATACCTAAAACTTGATCTAACTCTAAAAAATGAGAGAGAATTTCTCCATTCCCAAATCTTAACCTAATTTTTTTATCAATGTTCAGACATCAAATTCTCATGACACACGTAAATAAATGAAAACTAACTACATGGGCATGTTCAGGACTATGAATGTGACATATTTTCTTCACAAACCTAAAGCTAACAATGCCTGGATAGAGAGATTCGTGTTCATGAACTTACCTGTTCAGTTGAAGTTGTATCTGGTGATTGAGGTACCTTCAGTGCAAGGTGATGATTGGTACAACTTCCTTGATGTCCAGGGATGCTATTCCAAGCTTTACTTTGTCTTGAAACCTTTTGAATCGTGCTAGGGAACTTCAGCTGCAAAACAAGAAAATGAAAATGGTGATGTTGCCTGGGAGTGTTACAGGTCGTGTTTGAGGTTTTGATTAGCTTCAAGGGATGTTAGGGGATGTGTTTGATGTGTTTTTAGCAAGAAAGCATGGAAGGTTTGAGCTATGGAACTCAAACTGCAGGGATGCCCTGTTTTGAGCAGTTTGAAGGTGATTCTGGGAATGAGAGTGTTTGGGACTTGGTTGGTTTGTGTTCTAGCTCAGAATGGATGTCTAGAATGTGCTTGACAACTTTGCTTAAGCCCTGGTTAACTGATATGAGAGTTGGTATATGTTATGCAATGTTGCTTCCTTCTTAAGCCAAAATGCCAAGTCTTTGTTACAAGCTTATGCAGCCCCCCTAAACATGCTACAAAGCCTTGTCTTGATAAGTGGGATATGTCTAATAACTTGTGCCTCAGTGATTTCTTTGTACTTCAAAGATATGTGAACTTGACATAAAGCAATCTTTTCAAAAATGGCTAAAATGCTTTTTCCATTTTAAGGTTAATCTCTTGTGTAATGGTTTAATGAACAAGATAATGCTAGGACACAAAGGTTTTGCATTAAATTATTGAGTGTGGATGAGATAAAAGGCCTGTAATCAAGTTGTGCAAGCTGAGATTGAAAATGCATAGTGTTATGAACATGAAATTGGCCATGAACAAAGTGACTTTTGCCCATATTGCCAAATTCGATTCTCCCTAACCACAAGGGTGTTTGAGAAGTTCTTGGACATTTTGGAAAGCTTGGAATGTGTACTACAATCCATCTTTGAAATGCAAATTGAAATTCCAAGTGGAAGTGTATGAAAAATGGTCTTGAAGTTAGGTAAAAACCTTGCCTAAAATAGGTCAAATTTTCTCTAAGTTAAGAATGGTTTGGTACCCTTGTTCCAAAAATTGTAACTTGAGCTACAAGCTTCTTTTGGGAAAACTTTGTGAATAAAAGTTGTATATTATGCAATAGGCTACAACTTTCATGTTTTGACTTTTGCTTGAATCCAAATGAATCTTGGTGAGAAAGTGGGACAAAGTTAGGAAAAAATTAGGGTTTTTCATAACTTAGAAAAATTCTAAGTTATGAAAAATCTTCATTTCAAACCCTAATTTTCATTTCTTGATTTCTTGATGAACAAGTTTCATGATTTGGCATGTTTTGATGAAAAATGAATCTTGACCCTTGATTTTGACCAAAAAGTCAAAGTTTGACTTTTCAGTATACAGTCAAAATTGATCAATTGACTGGGAAATTCAACTGTCAATCTTATGTATTTGGGATCTTTTGAACTTGTTGAGCATGTCAAGACAATTCCATGGGGTCCTTGAGTCCATATGTGAGCTTGGTTTGCCATTGTCTAGGTCAAACAGTCAAAAATTGCCTTTGTGCAGTCAAAACCCTAAAAATGACCATTTTTCCCCTTTGGTGATCTGATCAAATTTCTTGTGGAATTGTGATCCAAACTTGATCAAATGGTCCATGTGAGTTCATAATGTTGATGTGGGTCAATTTTCATGAGATTTGACTGTCAATTGGCCACAGTTGACTTTTTCCCCAATACAGTTGATTTCTAGGTCAACTGTCCAATTGACTGGGCAAAATTTGGAATCAAGACTTAAAACGTGGTATGGATAAACTTGGGAGTCCAACATGAAGTATGAAAGTCATATTAGGCATTTTAGGTCAAAATATCTTTGTGCAAACACAAACCCTAATTTGGGTCAACAGTGCAAGGAGAAGTCTTGAGCAGAGGAAACCCTAACTGAATCTTGATCTTCAAGGGTCTTGTGATGAGAAAATGTTGAGGAAATGGGAGGGCAAATTTTGGGGTACAACAGAACTGATTCAAAAGAAAGGCAAATATCCGTACCAATCCTATTTCAATGGAGCAATGGCTTAATAGTTATAACAATGCCAAGAACAAACAAGCCTTTCTTGTTATCGAGGTTGCAGTTATTTACATAATCAACCAGATATGGTCTTCTAGGAACAACTAAAAGCATAATAACGTTCAGCCATGCCAAAATAAGTCTATAAATTGGATTGTGGTTAGTGTCAAGATGGCTGGAAATAATTCCTCAAATACTACTGCTATTTCAATGTCTGATTTCATTACCATAAAAGCCTTTGATGTTTTTATTTGCCTCCTCGTGCCCCCAACATTCGTGAGGTCCTGTGGAGTCCCCCCAATTCTGGTTAGTTGAAGTGTAATTGTGATGACTCGTTTAATCCAATCACCAAGGTCGTTGGATGCAGAGGTATTTATAAGAATCATTTTGGAGATTTCATTCTTGCTTTTATGGAGAATCTTGATTCAGGGTCGTCGGTCTTTGCTGAATTCTCTGTTGTTCTTAAGGTTATTGATATAGCGATTAATCGTGGTTGACATAAGATTTGGATAGAAATAGTTTGTGGTATGATTGTCAAAACTTTCTCCAACCCCACTTTAGTTCCTTTGAGGTTTTTTCATAGGTGGCATCGTAATTTAAATCCTTCTAATCTTACTAACATCATCATCATTCATATACACAGTGAAGGGAACTCTTGTACCGATTCTTTAACTAATTTAATGCTCAACACAAATTCCACCGTTTTTTTGACTCCATTTAGATCGGAATTCAAAGAGATTTTATAAAGAATATGTTATATATACCTTTATTTAAATTTGCTAGTTTTGATGGGGCTAACTTAATTTCCCTATTTAGTTCCCTTTGTTTCTTTTTGTTTATCAATATATTAGCCTTCATTAAAAAAACATAGATCAATTCAATTTATAAACATTATCTAAACAAATTTCTTTGTTGTTTTTTGTGCTTTGTTTTTTTGATTTTATTGTTTTTTTTTGTCCTTACTGAACTTCATATGCTCTATGTCCAATCGGAAACGGAATGAAAGACTTTATTCTCTATGTTTCAAAATAATTTTTTTTTTTAAGTTTGCGCATACAAACTAAGAAAAGTAACGAGTAAATAGATAAATATAACATATTTATAAAATTATTCTTAACGATTATTGATTATTTTTATAATATTATAAAAAAAAAGTGAAATTTAATTTCTTGAAAATAGTGTAAATATAATTAATTAAAGATAAAATTGGTAAAAAATCAAAATATTATATTAAAAAAGTAAAATGACATTTATTTTAATATAAATTTTTGTAATTAAAAAGATATTTATTTTAAGATAGAGGGAGTATTATTTTGTGTCTAGTGGGAGATATATGTAATTAAAATAAATTATTTTATAAATAGATAGAGACAAATTCACCCAATAACAAGTCACCCAAACTTTATCCATATCTAGTATAGTAAACTTTTAATGTTCTCTCTATTTATTTAATATACTCGCCATTCAAATACTTTTATAATTATTATACGTACAATTTGATCAGTCCACGTTTTTTATTATTTCTTTAATATTAATTCTTGCGGATTCAGATCAATGCATCATTGCACTAATTACAAATTATTAAAAACATCACAAAATGTATCACAACCTAGAAATGACGAGACAATTGCTTTACAAACTCAATGACAACAGCGACGGAGTTAGTGGCGGCGAGTGGCGAGAAGGTATCAACCTCGTTCGACTCGGCGGTGCCACCGCCTGCCAAATCGGAGAGAGCCCTAATAGCAATGAAGGGAATCCTTTGTTGCAAGCATATAAGAGCAACTGATGCACTTTCCATGTCAATCGGACTAACGTTAAATTTATTGTGAATGAAGGTTCTGTATGCTGCATTGTCTAGGTAGATTCCTGCACTTGTTCCTCTCTCCACAAGCACAACCTTTGGGGTTGTTCTCAAGCATGTGTCTGAGTCTATGCATGCCTCTAGCTTCATTTTCTGAAAAAATATATTAAAATAAACAAACATATTAGGGTTTTAAAATACTGTTGCACATTCGCGTAAAGACTTTCGTGATATATATTGGTACAGATGTCGAGACACTAGTTGTGGTGATTAATCATAATTTATTATTTAACATAAAAATCATGAATAAAAATATCAATATTAGCATCTGCCGATACCATTTTGTCACTGTCGTTTTCGCAGTTGGAGACAGTTTTTTAAAACCATTTGTTTATGCAATATTCTTTTATATTTAAGGTATTTGGAATACTAGGCCTTGTTTACCTCAAGTTTTTTGGCAATGAGGTAGTAGTTGGAATCAACGGGAACCCATAATGCATGTTGCCTTTGTTCAGGAATGCCATCAACTGAAAAAATCTCTTCTGGTTGATACCAAAGACGGTTGAGATGGTTATCAACTGTGAGACTATCAGCAGCACTTATGTTTGAGGTGAAATCTGAAAATTTGATGAACCCTACATCTCTTGTGTAGTCTCCATTGTTTTCTAATGGTAACGTATCATTAGCTCCTAATCCAAATCTCTGCATATATTAATAATAAATTGAATTGATAAATATCATCATGGCCAACTAAATATATATTTAGTCAATCTATGAAAAAAAAAATTAGTTATTTAAGTAATCAAAACCAAAATGACTAAGTATGCTACGTCATATTAATTGATTAATTAACTTAGTCAAGAAGTGTTTGTCACAATAAAAAAACTTAGTCAAGAAGTGTATTTGTCTTAGTTAGCAATAAGTGATATCGTGAGGGATAAGTAAGACGACTAGTACTCATTTCAATTTCAGATTAAATTAAGATAAGTTTGATTTTATTTTTTAATTGGAAGGTGACGGTACTGAATCACTTATTTATTAGTTGAATTATTGAGTTATTGATGAAATCATATGATTAAATTAGATTAAATTGAATAATTCAGTTAAATAAATCAATTTCTATAACAAAATTATATAATCATTAAAATTGATCAAATCAGATGATTTAATCTCTAAAAATTATCTCGACAACTACAAAATTCTAAATTTTCAAAATATCTTAATTTTACATATTCATTCTTTAATTTCAAATTCAAAATATAATAACTACTCACAACAAAATAATACAAAATATAAATTTAAATAAATTTTGAATAAATCTAATTGTAAACAATAGAAATTTGTTTAAAATAAATTTTGAATAAAGTTTAATTTTATTTTTTAACAATTTTGAAAATGTGGTGTCATTTTTTCTGAGGAAAAAAATATGTATTTGACCTGCCGATTTTTCAAAATCATCGGTTCAGTAGTTTTTATCGATTTTGATCGATTTACATCGGTTTAATAACATTATCTGATCCAGTAATCAGATCAAACCAATAACTCTTCTGAATCTCGATTCAATCGGTCCGATTGATTGGTTTGATCTGATTTTTAAACTTTCTAGTATAAAAATGACCCATTATTATTTGATAATTTAAATATATAATTTGTCTTCATTAGTTTAATTTCTAAAATTATTTTTATTTAATTTTGATTATTTTCAATATTTATTATTTTATTTTATTCTTATTCGTTTATATTAATCTTTTTATAATTGATTTATTTTAAATTTGATCATTGTAATTAGTAGAAAATTTAATTTTAAACTCTCTAATAATAATGATATGAGAATTAAACTTAGTATTATACAACTTACAAAAATCAATTTCAATACAAATAAAAATTTTAAGACTAAAATAGAAAACTTAAGTAATAAAGTAAAATAAAAAATATTTACAATAACTAAAACCAAAAATAAATAAGTTGTATAGATTAAAATAAAAAAGTGGTATATAATTTATAACCTTTTCTGATTTATATTGAATTAAAATAAATTTTTAGTTAATTTTACTAGTAGAAATTGAATTTAGAAAATGGTTTAATTGTCTCATCAGCTCATAATTTAGAGATTAATTTTCATAAACCAATGATACCTGCCAGCTCCAAAGTCCCAAATGAGCCCAATAATTAGGAATAGCAACATCTCCAATATGCAATGAAGGGTTTGCATTTCCAGCAATACCATAATGAACAACTCCATCTATATTAAAAAAGCTTAACAGAAGCTGTGTTGTTATACCTGCATTTATCTACATTTCATAGATTATTACAAAAATATTACACTAATTAATTAGATAATAAGTTCCAATAATTAATATAAACTAGAAACCATACCATACTCAATCCGGTCATGACCAATATAACAGATTTGTTGCCAATGGATCCAAAACGAAATCTCCTTCCTTCGTTATTGGCCACAAAATAAAAGTATTATGCAAATTTAAAAGTATAAATTACTACTCCTACTTTTGTACCAAAAATAAATAAAATAGATTGTTCATATATAATTTTATTCCTTTTAAATGGAAATCAACGCATGGATATTTAAGTATTACCTGAAAAATCTATGATGGTATTAGTAGGAGTATAGCCTGGATTTTGAAGAAGAGGATTAAGTTCAAAAGAATTTGGTATGACTAAACCCAAATAAGGACCCTCTTGGTTGATTTTAGCTATTTTCTTTTGTAATTTTGGTGTTAAAGCACAACTCACTAATGCATTTTGGGCATTAAACCACATAAATGTTGCAAGAAACGTGAACAAGACTATTCTTCCATGAGTAGCAGCCATTTTTTTTACCACTAGCAAAATAGGAAGACAAGAAACGTGGGATTTGAGTAATATGTATGTATATGACTCAAATGGATTGTTTATATAGATAATAAAAACAAGAGTAATTCATGAAGGAGAGACACACAAACAATATTTTAATGTGTGTTTAATGATATTTTATTTAATACGAACTTTTGAAATATTGTCTAAATGTGGATCTAACATTTTTTTAAAGAATTTTATAGTAATAATAAAGTTTATAATAATAAAAAAGTTTTTATTAAAAAGAAAACACATCTAACGTCTGATGCGAATTGCATTTAACTTCGACTAATTATCGATGTAACAAAGGACGTCATGAAATGCAACCATTTAAACCCTAGATTATTAAATAACTAAGAGGTAAAATTATCTGCACACGAGTTAAATCCCCAACGTCTGCATTTTTATTATTTTCAAAATAATATGGTGTGCTCAATATTAACTCTCGGTGTTGTGTATAACCGAGGTAATATCTTTGTGTTATTACCTCGATATTAGGTAAATATCGAGGGGATAATTTTTCCTAGTATTGTCATATGTATTACAGAACCATATTTTGCATATTCCTAAAAGAGAAACATTGTATATTTTGTCAATTTCTCAATTTGAAACATTGTACCACAAATATTTATTATTTACACCAAACCTAAAATATCACACGCTTTACAATTTTACAACAAAACTAAATAAATGATTAGCCAACAAAAGCAATAACTAAACTAGAAAGCTATATGACATCCATTAGGGTTTGCCACTGGTCGTTAAGTGTTGGAAGTAATTCATATTCAGAAACTGTTGTTAGTCAGAAGCAAAAGCTTATGAGGTTGCGTTCCAGAAGTATGTTTAGCTTATGAGATTCTAATTGCTTAGTTAGTTTAGCTATTAAGTTTAGTTTGCTTATTAACTTAGTTATTAAGTTTCCTTTTGTTAGGGCCTACATGATAATTTACTTTGTGTATAAATAGACTAGTGGTATATGTCATATGTATCAATCTTTCTTATATCTTTTGTAGCCTTCATTGTAGAGCAATAAAATATGTTCTCTTATTATTTCTGTCTTCATCACCTTGTGCACTAACAATTCGTATTTATAGCTCCGATTTGGATCCATAGGAAAACACGGGAAACACGAGTGAAACGATGATATGTTGTGTGAATGATTTGGTGAACGAAATCGTAACAGAATCACATTTTCTAATTCTGCAGGACTGGGAAACGATGTGTTTGGTAAGATCTTAGTGACTTGCACAAGGTTGAAGATGAACGGAAATGGTAGTCTGAGCACAAAACTTCCAGTGTTCGATGGCAAGAACTGGAATCGCTGGATGATTCAGATGCGCATGTTGTTCGGTGCTCAAGATGTTCTTGAGCTTGTTACCGAAGGTTACGTCCCGGTTGCAGCAGATGCGACAGAGGAACAGAGAAATGCACAGAGAGATAAAAGGAAGAAAGATCAGAAGGCGTTGTTCTACATTCATCAGTGTGTGGATGTGAACGTGTTTGAGAAAATCGTTGATTCGATGACGGAGAAGGTTGTGTGGGACACACTGGTTAGGTGTTACGGTGGTGACGCGTTAGTAAAGAAGGTGAAGCTTTAGTTTCAATGAAAGCAGTATGAGAATCTCAACATGAAGGAAAACGAGAAGGTATCTGAGTACATCTCCAGAGTGATTTTGATCACTAATGAGATGGAAACTTATGGAGAAAACCTTTCTGAACAAGTAATCATTGAGAATAGATTGACGTCTCTTACCTCTCAATTTAATTACATTGTTGTAGCAATTGAACATTCTAAAGATCTGAACACCATGAGAATAGAAGAGCTGCAAAGTAGTCTAGAGGCGTAAGAGTTGCATCAGACTGGAAGAACTTCTGAGAAGGAGGTTGAGCAGGCTCTAAAAGCTTCTTTTGTCAAGAAGGAGCAGAAGCAGAAAAGACATGGTAGGTATTAGAAGAAGGTTCAATGTTACTTCTACAAGCAGTTTGGCCATTTTGCTAAATATTATTGGTCAAACAAGGGAAGAAATCAGAAGAAGAAAAAATAGTCAAAGGAGACTCTAATGATGAACCTGTGCTATTAATGGCTTATGAATATGAGGTTTCTGAAGATGAGTCAGAGTCAGGAGATGACTCTGAAGCTGAAGACAAGGGAATCTGAAGGTGATTCTGAGTTTGGAGGAGAATCAGAAGATGAGTCAGAATCTGAAGAAGATTATGCTTCTGAAGATGAATCAGAACCTGAAGGTTATGAAGGAAAGTCAGAGTCAGAAGTTGAAGATGATTCTGGAGACTCTGAAGATGAGTCAGAATCTGAAAGTTATGAAGATGAGTCAGAGTCTGAAGGTGACTATGAAGAAAAAGAAGATTCTGAAGGCGAGTTTGTTTCTGATGGCGAATCTGATTCTGATCTAAATTTTGACGAAGATCCAGAATATGGTGGTGATCATGCTTCTGGAAGGGAAAACTCGGAAGACGTAGGTTCTAGAGGATAAGCTTCTGGAAATGATCAGTTTCTGGTGGAAATTATGTCTTTGATGGTGGATCTTATGAAGGAAGAGTTTTTGAAGGCGATCAAACTTTTAAAGGCGGTACTTCTGAAGGCAGTGGTTCTAGACGAGGTCCAGAAGCTAACAAAGGTGGAGCTTCTGGTGGTAGTCGAACTTCTAAAGAAAGTCTAGAAGAAGATACGGTTCCATAATTAGAAGAAGATTCTGAACAAGTCCAGAGGCCACGAAAAATCAGACAAATATCAAGGAGATTTACAGAGTTTGACATGTTGCAAGGTATTGAAGGGACTCTGATGTATGGAGTGTTATTCCCTTCTAATGTTAAGACGGATGCAAATATGATATGCTATTCAGACTCTGATTGGTGTGAAGACACGGTTTATATAAGAAATACTTCTAGATATGTTTTCAAGCATTTGGGAAGTCTCATTTCTTGGTGCTCCAAGAAGCAACCGGTGGTTACGTTGTTAACCTGTGAAGTTGTCAAGACTGAACACTTTATCCGTTTGAAGGATGAAATTGGTGTTGTAGATTTTAGTTAGCTGAATATGAATTAAGGGATGGTGTTGGAAGTAATTCATATTCAGAAGTTCTTGCTAGTCAGAAACAGAAGCTTGTGAGGTTGTGTTCCAAAAGTATGTTTAGTCTTTGGGGTTCTAGTTATTTTGTTAGCTTAGCTATTAAGTTTAGTTTGCTTGTTAACTTAGTTATTAAGTTTCCTTTTATTAGGGCCTACATGGCAGTTTACTTTATATATAAATAGACTAGTGATAACTTTCATATGTATCAATCTTTCTTATATATTTTGTAGCCGTCATTGCAGAGCAATAAAATATATTATCTCATTCTTTTTATCTTCATCAACTTGTGCACTAACATTAAGCACCCACAATTTGAACAACATTTGAAACCAATTAGGATAATCAACAATAACTTCACATTTATATTACAAGCAATACAAAAGAATAAAATGAATAATTATAAATTACTAAGCAATATAAAACATTTACTTACTAGTTTTTCCATATCCCCTCTTCATGATCACGGTGAATAACATGCACATCATATGAATATTATTTTCTTCAGATGATTGTCGTACATGTTTTTCTAAACAAGACGTGTCATAGTTCAAATCTTGATTTTCATCAATAATATCAGGAATGTATTTTCCTTGAAAAACAATTGACCATCTAGTGTTAGCAGGACCAGTGACATAATAAATTTATTTTTCTTGAATTTCCATGATGAATGGATCGTTCTTATAAGTCGACTTTCGAAGATACTTTTCAATATTTGTTAGAAGGATCAGTGACATAAAAAATTTGTTGTTGTCAATATCTTTGTTGTTTTCTATGTTAAAATTAATTGAAAGTTATTTTTATTTTTATTATTGAATTTAGGATACTTTTCACATTGATGAATCAAAGTCGATGTTATACTTTATACATTAAGGAGACTTTATCGAAATCATAGATCAAGACTTCATAGCTACTATAATTTTTTTTTGAAACAAATGAGCAAGCTTTAGATAACAAACCTGATGAAGTGAGTGAAAAGGATTGAATTTATTTGGTAAGTTATTTTTCAAACCCTCTCTATAAGGTAATCGAAATTAAATTGTTGTAAATATAGATAAATTAAATTGTATATAACTCTATGTATAGAAATCAAAATATGTTTTTGTTTGTATGGTTTCTAGGAAATAAGTGAAAGAAATAAATCAAATAAAGCAAAATAAGTTATCAATCACATACGTGGAAGAAAGTCATTTCAGGTTGTTAGACATGATACAGTAATTAAGGATGTTAATTTGCATCTGTTAACTGTGATCTCTATGGAGATTATCTGTTTGGAGCACTTAAGTGGGAGATTTTTCCCGTGGGCACGGGGATGGAGGGAAAACTTCCTCCAATGACACTTTGGGACAGGGATTGAGAAAGTATCCTCCGCCCCATGGACTCCCCGACTCCAACCATATTATTTAACTTTTATATGTTATATATTATATAATCTACAATTATATAATTTTATATAAAAAATACTAATGTATTAGAAAATGAAGAGTCATTAGTGGATTATTTTATTTTTATGTTTTATTGTATAATGTATCGTTTCACTAATGTATTGTTTTATTCTATATTTTTTCACAGTTTTATCAAATAGTTTTTCAAATGGGAAAAGTTTTGAAAACCTTCAAACCCCTCCATTTCTTGTGTTTTTCTCTACCTTCAGTGTGTGAAAACATTCAATATTTCAAGAAAATAAGATTCAAACCCAAAATGATTCATGTGTGAATGCATTTGTTTTAAAGACCAAATCAAGTTGCAAAGAATCCTAAGCCTAGATATTGGATTTGAGTTAAAGATTAGCAACAAATTTCTACTTGTTGTTTGTCAAGATTATCACTATCATTATTCAAGTTCTTTTGTTTTCTTGTGGAGAAGGCTACGAATTTAATTCAAAGTTTTC